CAAATATTCAGTTCTATGCCGTGTTGCCTTGAAAGTGAAAGCATTATTCAGTTCAACCTATTTGTGTGAATCTTCTTTTTCCAATATGAAGTTTATTAAGAACATATATCGCAATCGACTTACAGATGAACATTTGGATAATTGTATTCGAATGGCTGCATCAAATTATACTGCAAACATTAAAAAAATTATCGATGAGTCTGAGTGTCAGCCTTCTCATTGAACGTGCTTTTTTATTTTTCAATGTTTATGTTCATGATAGTGCGTTACTTTTTTGTTATTATAATTGACTATTTTTAAGTCATTCGTGACATGCCGTTGTGGCTGGATAAAAGTTTGTGTTTATTTTTCAAACACCTTCGTTTGATAGGTAGGAACGTAGCTATGAACAAGTACGTACTAGTAATATTTGTTATTTTGTTATTAGTTTATTATCGGTACCTATGTATTATGTATTACCAGTTGAATAGTAAAATAAATACATATAATGATAAATTAACTATGGATTATTTCATTTACGTTGCGTTACGTGGCTCAACACATTGAAAAGGTTGGCGACCACTGGTCTATATTGTTGCATTGTTTGCAATTAAGGTGTCCCTTGTACGTTTCCATTTTTGTAGGTGCCCCCTTTCAGTGGATAATACCCAGTAGCCCTATATTTGTTCTGAGCCAATCCCTACTCTCTTGAAACAGTTCTTTCGGTCTCTTTTGTGATGGATTTTATAAAGGGTTTTGAATGCCTTTCCGAGTATGTTTTCCCAGTACTCTTTATGTTTCTTATATACCCACTTCCCAATCTGATTTGATACCAAAACTTTTTTACTTCGACTTTTCCCCTCCACCAGTTTTTTCAGGCATTCCCATACCAGAATTTATGTCACTTTTCCGTTCATTGGTGCCATAATTGTAGCCTGGCTGTTTGTGAAATTATTGATCCGTTCATTTCATTGAGGTCTCAAATTAATGTTCCTTGCACATTGTAAGATTGCATACACTTTTCATGCAATATAATAAGGCTCAGTTACTTTACACTTGTCCTGGTGTGATAGGCATTATGTGTGGATATTAAATTTTTTTGTGTTTTACAGGAATTTATTTCAAGTTTTCTTTTCTGAAATCATTCGTTAGCTTTAACCCCTTCGATGAAATAATGATATTAGTCCCCGGATCTGATAAAAGTTATGTCATCAGCCAGTAAGGCATATTTTTGAGATGCAAACATGCAAATATATCATTTATGTAAATAATGAAAGATATTGTTCCAAGAACAGAACTTTAGGGTACACCATGGGCGATCTGCATATATGGTTTTATCACTTTCTACATTCTATGTACTTTTCTACAGTACATTTTATATGGGAATTGGATTTTTTTATTTTCTTCTGGTCGATATAAAAAATGAAAACAAGCAATCTGTAGTCAAAATACATTTGAAAATTGATTTATCATAAACTATTATTTATATTATTTTATCAACCACTAATATTGAATGTACTATACAAAGATGTGTAGATCATGCAAAGAAGTTACTTTCAGACCCAAACGTTTCCAGTGTCATGTATTCATTTTGATGGAAAAATAAAATGTATCCATTGTAATGAATTCAACCTAGTATTGATATAAATATATCAAGACTCGATAAGACGATAAGACCAGTTTCAAGAATCAACTTAATTTGAATTTTATGAAGATTAGACTTGATAAAATTTCTTACATTTTTAATATCACCCTTTTTTCCAGTATGATGGATGTGTATATTAATTGATATTTTTGAATGAGCAGTTATTTTTGGAAAACAATGAACATTGGTTATAAAAGTGGTTTAGATTCGGTTAATCTTTTATTTTTTTCAGGGATTTCAAATCAATTTATATTATATTAGACAATGGAAGTCCGAACTGATGAAATACACCACGAAACATTGTCAACCACCTTTAAACAAACGTCAGAATCAGGTATTACCTTTAGGTTTTTGAGGCTCACGTAATCGACAATAAGTTAATAGGCATCTCTAGGACAGTACCTAAATAGTCTAGCACTCATCTTAACGACAGGTGTTGTTTCAATTTGTATCTCATTAGCTGCACAGTAATTGCCCAAACTAGCTTTGAATATTGATAGTTCATAACTTTAAGGGAAAACTCACACAACTGGACAACTGAACCGGCTGTGTTTTTGACAAATTAAATAGGTAGGAAATAAACGCAATTATTTAATTTTTTACAACAGTAATACTTATTTTCAATCATTATATATTACAATAACTAACTAACTTGTAACTAATTCCAAAAAAACTAAATTCCATGTGAATATCACTGTTTATGTATTTTCATGAATATTACAGAAAATGTAGAAATATATCCTACTACTCAACCAAGATAAAATGAACGTAATTAGAAAGGTAGTTGGCCACTTATGCGGCACTCTCCTATTGCCGTAAAACAACTGACAAATAACTGAAGTAAAACAATTATTCAGAAAACTTGCCAGAATTTAGCATGTATGGTTGTCATTAGGTCAATAGAGTTGTTTCTTTGCATTTTCGATGTTCGATATTTCTTTAGTTTGGCAACTTGTGCGGCACTCTCCTATTGCTGTAGAGCAACTGACAAATAACTGAAGTAAAACAATAACTCAAAAACTTGCTTGAGTCAATAAAGTCGTTTCTTTGCATTTTCGATCTTCTAATTGAATAGGTACATTTTCATTCTTGGATAACCAGTTGCTCAAATTGAGCGTTTCAATTAGCCTTATTGCAGATATTACCGTTAATTTTTTAAAACAAATACTTTTTTTCCAGTGTTTTTGTGCCATGACATTGTTTTACTGCGCACATTGGCAGACATATGTGTCAGGAACGTTGAGGTTTGGAAAAATAGATGTCACTGAAGCACAATTCACTATTATGGTTATATTACTAGTGTCAACCATATTTGGTCCTTCCGTGTGGTCAAAAACGGTAAGTTGAGAGTTCTTTTGCAATTTTTGTTCTTCATAAGAATGAGACTTCAAATTTGAATGATTTATTCATTGTGTGTACTTCACTAATATCTACCCTTTTATTGTATCCAATTTAATACTACACAATATTGACTTAGAAAAAGAAAACTCAAATTGGTCTTCACAACAATCAATATATTATGATGAGAATTCTTTCGAATTCATCAAAGTTCATTTTCAGTTGATATTGTGAGGGATTTCTATAAGTAAAACAAGAATAAATTGAACAAAAACTAACAGAGATATCAAAAGGAAAAATGCAATTGACGGTCATACATTTAAAATCGCTTAAGAAGGCTGAAAATATAACACGTTTCGTTTCCTGAATTTCCTCCAATCCATGAATTGAAAACGAACTTCAATAAATAGGAAACACTATATTTAAATGCGGAAATGACTTGGAGCTTTCATTTTCTACAGACATACTCATTCTACTTTGAGAATACGGATTTTATGTTTACGATCCTTTAGTGAATTAACAATAATTTGATGAAAACAATTGTAATTGTAGAAATCATTAATGTGTTATCACTGACAGATAGCTAGAGAATTGTATTTAAATATATAACACAATTTCACTTACAGGCATATTATTGTCTTATACAAATAATTGCATCCGTGAACCATCATAGAAATGTTCTTACTTTCTATACCCTTTCAATTGCAAATAAGAGTAACAATGAACCTAATACGCTTCAAACTTTTTTCCTGCTCTTTTCCTACATACTTAGAAATGTATTATTTTTGAAGCAGTGCAAGGATTTATGCCTCAATCATTTTGGAAGTGACTCTGAAATAGAGTCCTGCATAGTGTAAGGTACTGTTATACCTAGTAACTTCTAGGAATGTTGAAAATTTTTGTATAATTATTAAAAATTTATTGATAACTGTGATACAGTTGGCAGGTCAAATCAATTCGTACAAGAAAACATTCTCTTTCAATTCAGTATATGAAATTTCTAAGTGACCTTTTCAGTTGTGAATTGATCAATTTCCTAAAATTCATTTCATTCAATATCTGTTGCTGCCAACTATATTGCTGTGTAATGAAATAATGACCAGAATTAAACTTTTTTGGGAATATCTTTCAAACACCTATTCTCAAAAGTCTGACATTTTTACGATTTGCTTCAAATTTATAATTTGTGTTGAGTTTGTCTTCAGGTAACTAGAAAATATTATATTTTGAATCAATTCCAATGTTGACTTCAAAATTAAATTGATGGATGCAGCTACGTGGTAGGAGATAATCATGAAAGATGAGAAATGAAACTTTTTGTTACCACTTATGTTTGTAACTAACGTTACTGCAGTTTCGTCCTATAAGAACATTTTCGAATGAATACAATAAACTGAAAATAATTGATCATATCAGCCCTTATATAGCTAAAACCACTGTAGGTGAAAACATAGGTACATAACTTAATTGAGTACCTGAATTTTGTTTACCTGTGACAATGTGGATAAGCTAATTTGAAAACCGGTGAGTAAACCAGATCCATTCGATCATTTAGCAGGTTACATCTATAATGTTCATGCTTGTGAATTTCTATGGCTTCCAAATAATTGAGTTTCCAACCCTTGCTTACATAGTGCAAAATTTCCATATCGTTTAGATTCGGGAACTTGTGGTTGCATTCCAAAGAAATGGTTTGAAAACGTCGAATCATTTTTACCTAGTCTGAAGGACCTTTCATGTTCAGCATACCATTTTGAAAAATTTCGGCCACATTGTCCCACATAAACACTATTACACTTCGGACACTTGAGCTTATAAACTTCAGATTTCTCCATATTGTCCACTCTATCTTTGGTATTAAAAAGGAAATTAAATGTGGTCTGAATGCCACTTCCACATTGTTTCTTTTGAATAAAACCGAAATTGTCTCTTTTCTTTCACCAAAATATGTTGGAGATACAAATTTCTTGATTTCTCACCGGTTTTCAAATTAGCGTACCCATATTGCCACAGAAAAACAAAATTCAGGTACTCAATTAAGTTTAGTACGTCTTATATTACCTACAGTTGTGTTTAGATATAGAAGGGCTATTATTATCAATTATTTTCAGTTTATTGTATTCGTTTGAAAATGTTCTTATAGGGCGAAACTGCAGTAATATTAGTTACAAACCTGTGGTTTAACAACATAGAAAGTTTTATTTCTCATTTTTCTTGACTTTCATTACTTTCGTGGCTGTTTGACTGCAGTGCTGGATCTATTTGGGAATTTGAAATCGGCTCAATTAAAACTTTAGTTCGGCAAATGGAAACAGTTTTCGAAAGAACTGTCAATGAATTTGTTTATAACAGTGAAATTTTCATATATAAATTAAACTAGGTTGTTAAGACGGAAACGTTGGCTTGGCAGATGAGTAAAAAATTGTAATATTTTAATAATGGGTTATCAACAAAGTAAACTATTTCTTAAAACAATTTACAATATGCAATAACTTTGGGGTGTGATCGGTTCATTTTGTCCATTTTGTCCACTTTGGTCTATCTGTTGATCTGAATATCTTTATTTTTTAAACTGTGGAAGATATCAAACCTTAAAAACTTACGAAACATTAACTTCAAAATTAAAAATCAATTGAAAACATAAATCTAACCACTCAATTTATTATTGATGTAATCAGTAATGATTTATGATAGTGGCACTATATATTGTTGATATCATTAATATTGAAGTATAGGAGAAAAATTGAAGAAAAGTATATTGAATAAGTAATTGGTAACTAATTACTAACACAGATATATACTCAGTAATTTAACTGTTCAGCATCCCAGTGAGATATATAATTATCCAGTTAAATTGAAGTACATTTATAATCACTTTTTAATTATTTGTAGTTATTGTGTAGTTATTTCAGTTATTGTAATAGATATAATATTTAAACTGAATGTGTTTCATGTCTTCAGTTGTTTCTCATTTCCTTAAATTTTGATTCATTCATTTGTGCAATAAGTTTGTAGAAAATAAGAGCAACATATTGTTAAAAATCAGATTTGAATAATGAAAATTTAGAACAATGTGTAATGTTATTGAGTTGAAGTAGGGAATGACAAAATATTCACCACTTGCTTTATTTTCTGCTATGTTTATCCACAAATCCCTTAATTTCGTTATAAACAAATTGAAACCTTTTAATGATAAATACCTCAAAATCCATTGGTGCACTCATAATTTGTGCCAAGTTTTTTCTAAGGTAGCTGCTATATTCCATTTTACAACAAAACTCTTTACAGTTTTTTAGTGAATCTTTTCAATTGTGGTATCTAATTCCAATGGGCACTTTAGCTTGTGGATTTATCACATTAAACAACAGCCTCACTATTGTCTTTACTGGTGGTGTTGGCAAGAACGGATCAACGGTTGCTGTAAGTTTGGTTTATTTGGATGAATATTTTCCTGGGTTGGTTATGGCTGACGACAGTGTCTCACTTCATATTTTGAATTATACTAAAACTTCTGACAGCCAGAATTGTTTCATCACACTTTTTTCATCACAATTTATGATGCTTATCGATTTTTTATGTGGCAAGAATGTGGTTATTAACGCTGATAAACTTAACCTCATAATCCAATGAAATTCCTAACTATAAAAAATATTTTAAATATTGAACACGAGTATAACCATTCTTGTTCTGTTTGTCAAAAAAGGAATAAAACTTTTACTGTCGCTTGACAGAATGACTTCATAAAAATTATTGAACGCCCTCATAGAGAAATAATCTATATAAGAGCTATGTCATGAAGTAGATTTATTGAGCATCAATTGAACTGAAGAATTTCAGGCATAGGTTTAAATTTTTCGATAAACAACGTATACTCGTATTCATGATAATTATCACAAATTTTCACAATATAGACTTTATTTACGATACACATTTCCCTACTAACATCACCAGTTGAGGACTGGTACTTACGCCACACTACTTCAAAATGCAATTTATACAAATTATCAATCTTATTTAATAGATAAATTGATGGATTTAGCTGGTACTACGTGGTAGGATATCATAATGAAGAAAAGAGAATTGAAACTTTCTATGTTCTTATCACTTATTAATTACTGTCGAGTACCAGTTCAATTGAGGATGTAGTGAAACGCGTATTAGAAATAAAATCTATATTTCATGCTTTGAATCTTCTTGTCAAGTAATTATTGGAAAAACTTCATCATTCAAAATCTCCATCTGAGTACAGAACATTCTCCAATAAAATTCTTCTGGAACATGGGAAAGTTGTTTGTGTGTGTGTTAATTATAATATTACTATCGTGCCATTAGATATTAGCTCACACAATCCATATTTTAGAAATTGCACTTTCATTGTACATCACTTCTCATTGTCTGTTCCTTTGTATGCAATGGATTTTGATGCGGGTTTTTTAAATAAATAGATTGATTCAGGAGAAAGGTTTATATGTATATAACATGCATAATGTAGTAGAGAAACACTGATAATTTTAGAGGTTTATAATGTGGTATCGTAAATAAACACCTGTTTCTTTCACTTACATTGCAAACGCTGGGTGAACCCTACGAAATGTACTAAAGTATTGTACACCTTAAAAAAGTCTACAAAAAAGGCTGCAATGGCATATGTCTATCAATTAGGGATAACCTACGATGACCATTTTTCATGCTCGAGAAATAATCGCTTATTTACGAAGCGATTTTAAGCAATACATCATTATTCCTTATACAATTAAGTACCTTACATATATTGTGCATTTATTATAGACCAATATGGCCCTTCACTGCATGTAATCTAAATGAATATGTTCGAAGATATCACATATTCAAAATTCAGGGAAATTACAAAAAAATTGTTTGTAACTTTTGATCCATCGAATAATAAAAAAGATTTTGGTCAAATTATTATACAATAACGAAATGAATGATATTTTATAATACAAATAAGACTTTTCACTATTTCATTTTTTTTTGAGCATAACTCTGACTCTTCGGTATATACTGCTACAATTTTTTGCCAAAATTTGAATATAGAAAGCAATATATATTTCATTAAAAAAAACCTTATTTTGATATGCCAAAATACTACTCAACATCCTCTATAACGATGAACTTTGTAATACCTTGAGTTAACATTATTGGAATTTTCGTAGTGATATCATTTTTTTTTCAAAATTGATTTAGTATTTTTGGAGTCTATCTATTACAAACAAACAAATCAAATCTTTTTGTAACAATATCATTTCTGATAATTCGAAATTTTTATATGAAACATTCTTTGGAAATTTTGCTGTTTCACCTCAAACATATAATGGAATCTCGATGTGAATCATTCTGTATATAAAAAAAATTTCGAGGCCAAAATCAATGAAATAGTTTTTGTGCATTCCTGCTCATTTATATATACAGGGTGTTTATTAAACATGCGGCAAAAATTTAAGGGACTATTCCTTGGACATTCTTAGGATACTTTGTCCTGTGATGATTTTTGATAGGGCGCTTTGTTTCGAAGATACGGAGCCAAAAAGAATTTCGACAATAACAATTTATTACCAAAAATTACATGTAATGTTTCTCAATCTACAAGAACNATATCAAGACTTGATAAGACGATAAGACCAGTTTCAAGAATCAACTTAATTTGAATTTTATGAAGATTAGACTTGATAAAATTTCTAACCTTTTTAATATCACCCCTTTTTCCAGTATGATGGATGTGTATATTAATTGATATTTTTGAATGAGCAGTTATTTTTGGAAAACAATGAACATTGGTTATAAAAGTGGTTTAGTTTATAATAACATAATCTACCAATTTTATACCATACATAGACGAAAGATGTAGAAATAAAAGCCAGTTTAGCTAATAATAATTTTAATTAAAATCGCTTGCCAGTTTACACTTAGTTTGGGGAAAAACACTTTCAAAAATGTCTTCCAAACCATCCATGAAAACATAATTAGAACTGGATGATGAATGGTAAAGAAATCCTTTGACACATACAGGGTGCCCCAGAATTTAGTTAACAAGCAATATAACGTATCCAAAAAACACTTTATTGTGAGATTTTCACTAAACAGTTTTACAAAAATACAACACGTGTTTCGCAATACAATGGCTTCTTTGGGCGTGTCTTTACTTTACTGTTTACTGAAAACCTCACAATAAAGTGCTTTCTGAATAGCTGTGGATTTTCATCAAGTATCGTCCAATTCCATCATATAACAAGCAATATCTCCGTGATTTGTAAATTTAGAAAAATTAATGTTTGTGTATGTGTAAGCGCGCGTGCATGGATACGTGCGTGTGTGTGTTTAAAAGATTTCCGCCATCAGCAATCTCAGATTTGAAGTCGGTGTTGAACCGCGACAGGAGTTTTGTTTTGACGTTTTGGCTTTGACTTTGAAGCCATTTAAAAAAAAACATCTTCAAGGGTTTTGTGACTTTATTGGTGTGTTGTTTATGTGTATTTCTGCAGCATAGGAAAAATGAAAAGAATTGTCAATATTACTTCAGTCCCAGATGGAAAATATGTGTAATTGTTACATTTTACAACAATTATTATAATTATTATATTATGATATCGAGATGCAAATTGAACTGTCGTCTTTTAAAGTCAAAATCAGGTGTATTTCATCAGTTCGGACTTCCATTGTCTAATTAATATAAATTGATTTAAAATCCCTGAAAAAAATAAAAGATTAACCGAAAATAACAATTTTATTAAAACAAAAAACTGAAATTGCAAGGAAATATGTCCAGTTATCACCCGAAGACGATTGTGGATACTAACAATCGAAACGTCGTGACATAACTTGGTTTGGAATCTTTTAATTTTAATTTTTCATTTTTGTTAATAATATTTTTTAATTTTCAACTTTCATTAATATTTCAATTTTTTATTTTCTGGTTATAGCTTGTATGTTATTCCGTAATTTCAGTTTTTTGTTTTAATAAAATTGTTAAACATAGCACTCAAGAAGGTGGCAAACCATAGCCACGTGTTTCGGGTTTTTGGCCCATCATCAGTATGGTGCAGCCAAGTGTAAGGATGGGCAACATTTGGTTAGCAGAAGAAAGAAATACAAATGCACGAAATCAGCAGCAGAAGCCAACCGCACATTTGTGGTTTCAGTTAATAGGTCTTGTGTTTACAAGAAAACTATCAAAATCACTACGGAGGCAGCTATAGCTACCTGCGTGACATCCGGGTCCAGGAAATAATACAAATACGAGGGTTATCGAGTGTCTTGATATAAATAAATAAATTATTAATCGGACATAGCACTCAAGAAGGTGGCAAACCATAGACACGTGTTTCATCATCAGTATGGTGCATTTGTATTTCTTTCTTCTGGTAACCAAGTGTTGCCCATCCTTACACTTGGCTGAACCATCGTGCATGTGCTACATATTGTTTGTATTTACTTCGAGCAGGAATCCAAATTGAAAAAATTTATTTAATTTTTTTATTTTTCATAACATGATAATTTTATTCACTGAAGTTGATACGAACATATATTTTATAAGTGTAGAGACCTAAAGATTATTAATGAGATCAATAAATATAAGTTCCAATAAAATGAAAATTTCCAATTTTAGTTAAGTAAAATATATAAAAAATAATAATTAGGGTATTTGTATTTCCGTTTACTACAAAAAGAAACCCAAATGACACATTTCATATAGTTTGTAAGGTCTCGAAGAGGATTGTTGGGGACAGTTACTCTAAATAAGGGAATAACTCGTTTAAGCGAAATAGTACCACATTTTAATTTTAATATATGTTTTTACCACAAATATGCTTTTACAACAAAAGAACAAATTTGTTTATATCTCCGATAAAACAACCAATCTTGGTGATTTCCATCAAAAATAGTTTAATCCTCATCAACTATGTATCTGGCTAACAATTTGTTTTGCTCAGTCGGTACAACCCTTTTGATGACAGAAATTGTTATAGCAAATCAATATCATCTCGAGGTTGACTCACAGTTTGTGTTCACATTCCATTTCCAGCAGGTTAAAAAGGTGTATGATTTTCGATTCAATTAACAACTGAGGTTATGAGGTGTCTTATTCGTGATAATTTTTTCTGTTTTTTTTTGTGTAAATCTCCTTTTAGTTTCTCCAACTTTTGCTTATGTTTTTTTGTCTGGATTGAGCAATATCAATCGACCTACAGGCTATTTGCTCCCACGGTATTGATAAATAACAAAGTTTCTGTTGAAAAATTTTAATTTATTAATACATTTTTGAGGTCTTGTGGTATTACTATTAATAAATTCAATTCACAAATAACAACTCCAATCAAATATATGACAATAACTTCTAGCAACCTTAAATTACTTGATTATGTATCTTCATTTTTTTCTTGTACTGGGTCAGAGGCCACATAACTGGTTATATAAATTATTTTTATGAACATTAATTGTGATGGTGCCAATTCGTCTATTAAAGTGCCAAACAGCCCTGAAGTTTTTTTTTAAGTATTTGAGTGATTCATCTTTCGAATATTTCCACAAGGTACGTAAGAGGAGAGAGTAGTTCTTTTCTGAAATTATCCACAGATCCGCTTAGATTTTGAGAACTAGCTAAAGAGTTCCCTCTTTTTATATATTAA